ACAAGGGCAAAAGCCTCAAAGAACCCCTGGCTCTAAAAACCAAAAAAAAAAAAAAAAAAAAAAGAATTGAATTTGTAGCCGAGTGGTGGTGGCACATGCCTTCCCTGCCTGATCTCTGCAGAAGGGAACAGTAGTTCCTATTGGTGAGATACTAAGGCTTGGGTTACTTGGTGGCTGGGGCTGAGGATATAGCTTGGTGATTGGTCAAGTGCTTGCCTACTATTCATGAAACCCCATGCTCCTCTCCAGTACCCATGAAACCAACCTAGTAACCCACACCTATAATTGTAATTACAGCACTCAAGAGGTAAAGGCAGAAGGAGCAGATGTTCAAGGTCTTCCTTGACTATATATCAAGTTTGAAGCCTGCCTGGAATACTCGGTCTGGAGAGATGGCTTAGTAGCTAAGAGCATTTTCTGCCCTTGTAGAGCACCCAGGTTTGGTTTGCTGCACACATACTGGCTGACTCACAATTGCCTAAAATTGTAGCTGCAGACCATAGGACACCCTCTCTTCTGGCCTCCTCAGGCAGCTACATGCGCATGCGCGTGGTGTACATCCACATACTCAAGCACACACAACACACATACACATAAATTTTTTTTAATATTAAAAAATATTTTTTTTGCTTTTTTTTTGAGACAGGATTGTTCTGCATAGCCCTGGCTGTCCTGGAATTCACTATGTAGATCAGGCTAGCCTCAAACTCACAGAGATTCCCCTGCCTCTGCCTTCCAAGTGCTGGAAATAAAGGCATGCACAACCACACCGGCCCTTAATATACATGTATGCATATATACATATTTTTTAAAGAAAAAAAGTTTTTGAGTGTCAGTCCTATTCCTGCTCCCTAGCCCACTCCCACTCGTGGGAGCCTCTCTCTTATTTCAGTAAACTGACTCTAATCCTTACTACTGTGTTCCTAAGGTGGGCATGATGTGGCACATGCTATTTATCCCAACACTTGGGAGACAGAGGCAGAAGGATCTCTGTGAGTCTGAGACCAGCTCACTCTACATAGTAAGTTTCAGACCATCTAGAGCCACCTACTTAATGAGACTCTGTTTCAAAAAACAAAAATAAATAAGTAAATAAAATAAAACAAACCATTTCTTTACTCCTTACTATAAGAGAAAAGAGAAGAAATAAGTTGGGAGGCTGGAACCTTGGGTTTCTCACTAGAGATGGTTTAAAGTTCTTGAGTAGCCTGGTTGTGGTAGCACACGTCTTTAATACAGCATTTGGGAGGCAGAGGCAAGCAGATCTCTGTGAGTTTCCAGCCCGGTCTACAAAGCTACACAGAGAAACCCTGTCTTGAAAAACAAACAAAAGTTCTTGAATAGATTGGAGCGATGGCTCAGAGGTTAAGTGCACTGGCTGCTCTTCAAGAGGTCCTGAGTTCAGTTCCCAACAACCACATGGTGGCTCACAACTATGTATGGTGGGATCTGATGTCCTCTTCTGGCACAAAGTTATATATGCAGATAGAGTAGTCATATATATATATATATATCATAAAACAGAGAAATCTGAACTCACAGACCAACCAAGCTGGCCTGGAACTCACAGGCCTTTGCCTCCTGAGTGCTGGGATTAAAGACCTCAGCACCACTGTTTGTCTTAAATAAATCTTAAAAAAAAAAAAAGTTCTTGAGGTAAGGCAGAGGAGGTGGTACACACACTGGAGTGGTAGGACAATCTCTATGAATTTGAATGAGGCCAGGTTGGTCTACACAGCAAGTTCCAGGCCAGCCAGGGCTGCATGGTGAGTCTGGGAGACAGAACTGAGGGCTGGAGCCTTCTGAGGACTCCTTGGCAGCGAGGATGCAAGGATTCTGAAAGGAGCTGAAACATGAAGGTTCCCATGGAGAGTGAAGGTCACCAGTGTTCTCCAGAGGCTGGACAAATGGAGACAGGGTCATCGTTTTCTGTTTTTATCTTCAGACAGGGTCTCAGACTGGAGATGTGGAGTGTTTGTCTAGTGTGCACAGACCCTGATTCCACCCCCAGCACAACAAATCAAACAGACAGACGGACCTGACCGGTCTCATAGTCCAGGCTGGCCTCCGCCTCATCAGATGCAGAAGGATAAGCCTGAACCCCCGAAATCCTGCCCATCTACGGAGTGGTGGGATTTTAGTCACCACTGTCTGCAATGTTGCACATCCCACCCGGGCTTCCCGCATGCTAGGCAAGCACTCCACCAAGGGAACAACATCTCTGTCCCTCTCTAAATTCTTTAGTGTCAGAAATTTTCTTGAAGCTGACTTTTCTTTCCAGTTGGTACAAACTAGCTTTTGTTTAATGGAAAAAGACTGAGCTCCTGCTTCAGCCCCTCTGCCCTCCTCTTTTTCTCTCCTTTTTCCAAGTGTTGGGGACAGAACCCTGGGCCTCCCACCGACAATGAAAGCTTTTCACTCCAAGCTCTTTTTACTCCTTCCCTGGCTTTTCCAGAATCTCTGTCCCATCTCTCTGTGACACTCTTACGCCCCCTGCTGCCCCTTCCCTGGACAGCAATGGTCACGCCAAAGACCAGAATGACCAGGACAACAAATTCCTACGCTGACATGAGAGATAGGAAGCTGGGTTCTCAGAATGTGGATGTTGGGGAAGAGGGAAGGCTCCAGGTTTTCAGAGCAAAGCGTGTCGATGGTCCCTTTTCCTGGGGCCCAGCCTAAGTCACGACATCCTCGGGGAAGCCCTCTCTCTGCCTTCCAGACGGTTATAGCCTCATTGTTTATGCACTTGTGCAACTCTCTAAATGCATTTTTGCAGAGTATATAATTTCTAGTTGTCCTTCTGTGTGTTGCCATTTGAAGCAAACCCACCTCTCCTATGGGTGTGTGAGCATCAAAAGGAAGCACAGTTGTTTTTACTCTTCAATACATCTCAGTGCTTGCCATACTGCCTGGTCCACTGCCAGAGCACAGTAAATATTTGTTGAATAAATGAGTGAGTTGCATGCAAAGCTCCTTTTTATTTTTCACAACAGGGTGTCACATAAGCCCAAGCTGGCCTCAAACATGTTATGTAGCCAAGGATGACACTGAGGTCCTGATTCTCCCAACTCTACCAGTCCTGGATTTACAGGCATGTACCACCACGCCTTCTTCTCAAAGGGGGTTTAGTAGGAAGTGTGAGAGACATTGTTTGGGCTCTGAGGGCAGCTGTGAGTCCAGATGTTCTGGCTTCTGTTCAGGGCCTGGTCTATGTCCAGTCTCTGTCCTTGTACCCAAAGATCACTCAGGCAAAAGGAAGCAGAAGAGTCGTCTCCTAGAGGAAGGTGGCATAGACGTGGCATCAGCGCGGCTCAGACCCAGTCCCTCCAGCTCCACAATCTGAATATCCACAATCACTTCCTCTTCCTTTAGAGATTTTTTTATTTGGTTTTTCTGGACAGGGTTTCTCTGTGTAACAGCCCTGGCTATCCTGGAACAAACTTCATAGACCAGGCTGGCCTTGAACTCATAGAAATCCACCTGCCTCTGCCTCCTGAGTGCTGGGATTAAAGGTGTTTGCTACCACCATCCAGTTTAAAGATTTTTTTCTTTTCTTTTCTTTTTTTCCTTCCTTTCTTTCTTTCTTTCTTTCTTTTCTTTTTTTTAGAACTAAGTCTTGTTATGTAGCCCAACCTGGCCTTGAACATTCAACTCTTCCTGCCTAAACCTCCCCAGTGTTGACTGGAGACACATACACACACACACACACACACACACACACACACACCACCATCACCACCATGCCTAGCTCCCCCTTTTTATTACAGTTTTCCTTTCTAGTTATAAAACCATGGGCCTCAGATCTCTGTGAGTTCAGCCTGGTCTACAAAGCTAGTTCCAGGACTACACAGAGAAAATCTGTCTTGGAAACAAACAAATAAATCATGGGCCTCATGCATGCTAGGTTTGCACTCTATGCCTGAGCAACACCCCATAACTCATCTCTTTCTTCTCTCCCTGAGGTTTCCTTCCCTAGAATGTACTTTCTCTCCTTGTAGCTAACATACTTAAATAACATTCTCTTACCTGCTAAAGCCCCAAGGGAAAGAAGGCCCTGAGGGCAAGACCAGAGTCTCTGGAGGGCAACAAGTCTCGAAACAGACACAGCAAGGACCTCCATCTTTGATCCTTGGCTCAAGATCACTTTGAATATATCCAGCTTCAGCTGAAGAGGCAGTTCCATCTCCAAGGGTAAAACTAGTTTTGGTTCTACTCCAGAAGACAGCACCACCTTCTGCAGTGGGCAGGGCAGAGAAGACATTAAGAGAGGAAAGAATGAGCCATATCTACATCTTGCTGCCCCCCTAGCTGCTTTAACTCAGCCTCTGAGATATATTTCCATGCAGTTTTCCGGTTTGATCTTCAATGAAACCATCCCTAGCCCCAAATAAACATGCAGTCTAGGTAAAAGCAGTTTGCATTCTGGGATATGTCTCTGGCTCTCCACCCTTATCTGAATGCCCACTTAAGCCTTTCCACTATTAAAAGCCCCCCTTTGCCTCATTTTCCCAAGAATTCACTAAATATAGCCAGCATCCCACCCTCTTCCTTTACTTGATCTTGGAGGTGAAGGGTAAGCCAAGAAGAATTTGTTCTTGTCCCAAGAGCAAGGAGGCGTCCTGAGCCATCCACCAGCTTAAATCCCAGTTCCAGAGAAAAGCTCCAGGGGTCTGTGTGAGGCTGGGGAATGTCTAGGGGGAGAAACGATTCTCCTGAGGCCTTAAGACTTGGGTTTTGTGGAGAGATAGGCAGTGTTAAAGAGAGACAGCAGAAGGCAGAACTGGGGCATGGAGGGGATAGATTTTAAAAGGTCTACCTTGGAGACTGAATTCTGCATGGGTCCCTGGAGGGAAGAACAGTCCAGGTTGCAAGTCCACATCACAGTTTCCAAGGTTACTAGGGGCAGAGGTCGATAGCGGGGCCTGGTGGCCCAGCCAGATATCTCGTCGAATACAGCCATCCAGGGCAGGAACCAGCTGAAGGGGGTGGGAGGGGAGGGGAGGAGAGGGGACATGTTGGTATGGTGGAATCTGGGCATCTGAATCCTATCTGCTGGCATATCCACTTAGAAGGGTAAGTGTTTAGCTTTCTCCATGCAGCTCCCCTTAACATCTGAACTTAGGTTTCCATAGCTTGGCCCTAGGATGTAGTCACCGGGAACCGAAGACTGGAGGTGGGGAGGAGGAGTCCCCCTAGCGCAATCCTCATGCTGGGCTGGGAATTGTCAGCCAGGCTTCCAGAGACCTGTCTCAGGCACAGCAGCTCCTTTCCATCCACCCTCAGCTGCAGTGAGTCCCCGTACATCTTCAGCTCCACCTGCAGGAAGTGGTCAGAAGCAGAAAGAAGCCCAAGCAGAGGGCCCTGAGCCTGTCGCCTCCACTTTCTTCAGAGGCAGCCTAGTACAGCTGACAGAAGATGCACCTGAAGACATCCTTGGCTCACTCAGACTATGCCACTTACACACTGACACAGCCTTGGAATTCCCATCTGACAAAGCGGACACAGATAGCTACTTTACAGGGACTGTGTATTGCTAAGAAGAGATGACCATGGCGAAGGGATGCTCCTGCTCTCCTTCCTCATCAGATCAAGGTGACTTCTCCCCACAGAGGCAGAGGTGCCCGCTCTTACCTGGTGCCATCTCCCATCATTCAGCTGAGGGCCAAAGCCTACTGTAAGCCGAGCCCAGAAATTGTGCAGCTGGGTTTCAAGCTGGCCATCCCGAAGTCCCAGCATGAACCAATCATCTTTGGTGTTGGTGTCCCCATAAAAAATCACTCCCTCTGGATCCAAGGTTCGAAACTCAAAGGAGGAATAGGGTCTGGAAGGACACAAAAGGAGAGACTGTATATGGGGTGTGTGGGGTTTCAGGGTTGGGGGAAGAGGAACTCATGGAGATATAGGGGAAGAGCAGATGTGGGGAAAGGGGAGGTCAAAGGGCTGGGTCGAGGCCAAGTGACAGGGCTGAAGAGATGCTCAGCAGTTGAGAGCACTGGCTGCTCTTCCAGAGGACCCAGGTTCAATTCCCAGCACCCACAAGGCAGCTCACAGCTGTCTATAACTCCAGTTCCAGAGGATCTGACAGCCTCACACAGACATGCATGCAGGACAAGCATCAATGCACATGAAAATAAATTAAAAAAAATAGAAAAAAGAGTCAAGTAACTCCCATACTTGCTGATTTTGGTGCGATCGATGGTTATAACAGCGACAGGCTCTTGTCCTGGGCCATTGCTGAGGTACCTAGCCGGAGAGTTCTGAGCACTCTGTCAGGAAAAGAAAATAAGCTGGAGTCTGGAGAGTTGGCTCAGTGGCTAAGAGCACTGGCTGCTATTCTGAATGACCCAGGTTCAATTCCCAGCTCCCGCATGGCAGCTCACAACTATCTGTAACTCCAGTTCCATGCAATCTGACACCCTCACATAGAAATACATGTAGGCAAAGCACCAATGCACATTAAATAAAGAAATCTTAAAAAAAGAAAGAAAGAAACCAAGCTGACTAAAGACATTTTAGAGACAGAAAGAAAGGCACAGCTACAGGGTTAGAGGAGGAGAGGAGGGAGAAGACAGAGCCAAAATACAGCTCATTTAAACACATAGGGTCTGAGAACCCTATCCCGTTCTGCACCTGGGTAGGAGCAATGTGTCCCTGGTGGGTGTGAAGTGGTAGCAGCAGCAGCAATAGCAGAAGTAGCAAGGAGACCACAGAGTCTCGGTTCTCCATAGTTCGCAGCTGTCCACTGGGTGGCTCAGACAATCTGAGGAGAATGAGTGGAGGTAGGTAGCCTTGCATGGGTGGTGGAGGGTTAAAGGTTGCTCCGGCGGAAGGAGGGGAGGCAGGAGATAGGGACGCCGGCCCTCTGAAGGCAGATGAGGTGAGGGACAGAGTCCCTCCGCTACTATCCCCTGCAGCCAAGAAATCTATGGGAAAACATCTCATCTCTTATCCTCCTCAGTTGTCCAGTGTGGCTCCTCCAGGCATTCCTCCCACAAGGGGAGGCTGCCTGGGCCAACTTGAGATGTGGAAACAGTTCTCCCTGATTAACTAGCATCCTCTACCAGGACTAAAGCTGAGGCGTGGAATCCAGATATCTTGCTGACTGACCTTGGGAGACACACTTCACCTTTGTGCTTCAGTAACATTGTCTGTCAAAGGAGGACCACAATCCTTCTGTGGAACTGCTGTGACTGGAGATTGAAATAATGCAGGCAGAATGCCCAGTGTCTGATATGAATGCCTCCCGTAGCTTTCCCAGATCTAAGATGCTGCTCTTACAAGAAGGTATTGTCTCTGTGTGTTTTAATGGATACTAAGAAGAAATCTGCCTATAGCCCAAGCACAAGAGTTCAAAGCTAGTCTGGACTACAGAAAGACTATTCTTTTTTTCTTTTTCTTTTTTTTCTTTTTCTTTTCTTTTTTTTTTTTTTTTTTTTGAGACACGGTTTCTTGAGACAGGGTTTCTTTGTGCAACAGTCCTGGCTGTCCTGGAACTCACTTTGTAGACCAAGTTGGCCTCAAACTCCATGATCTATGTGCCTCTCTGCCTTCCAAGTGCTGTGGTTAAAGGCGTGTGCCTCCACTGCCTGACTCAGAAAGACTATTCTAAAAAGTGGTGGGAGTATAGATGGCTCAGTGGGTGAGAGCACCTGCTGCCAAGCCTGATGGCTTGAGTTTATGCCACAGGATCCACAGGATGGAAGGAGAGAACTGACTCCTGAAAGTTGTCTTCTGGCCTCCACACACACACACACACACATGCACATGTGTGTATAGGCATAAGTTACACACACGCACACACATATACACACTAAACAAATGTTTAAAATACGGAAGAAGGAGAAAAAAAGCAATAAATATTTCTAGCTGGGCATAGTTGAACCTCTGTGAGTTTGAAGTCAACGTGGTCTACATTTCAAGTTCTAGGTCAACCATAGAGAGACAGGTTACATAGCCCTGTCTCAAAAAGAAAAAAGAAAAGAAAGAAAAGAAGCCAGGCAGTGGTGGTGCACACCTTTAATCCCAGCACTCGGGAGGCAGAGGCAGGTGGATCTCTGTGAGTTCCAGGCCAGCCTGGTCTACAGAGTGAATTCCAGGACAGCCTCTAAAGCTACAGAGAAACCCTGTCTCAAAAATCTAGAAGAAGAAAAGAGAGAGAGAGAGAGAGAGAGAGAGAGAGAGAGAGAGAGAGAGAGAAGAAAAGAAAAGTGGGGGTGGAGGCAGCACTAGAGAGATGTCTGAGTGGTTAAGAGCATTGGCTGCTCTTCTAGAGGACCTAGCTTCAATTCTCATCATTCATAACCACTTACAAGGACTGTAACTCGCCGGGCGTTGGTGGCACACCCCTTTAATCCTAGCACTAGGGAGGCAGAGGCAGGCGGATTGCTGTGAGTTTGAGGCCAGCCTGGTCTCCAGAGCGCATGCCAGGATAGGCACCAAAGCTACACAGAGAAACCCTGTCTCGAAAAAACAAAAAAACAAAACAAAAGGACTGTAACTCTAGGTCCAAGGGATCCAACACACTTTTTTGGCCTCTGTAGGTCATGTAAGTAGTCACAGATACACATGCAAGCAAATACCCACACACATAAAATAAAATTTAAAAATTAGCAATTATATATTAAAAAGAAAGTTATGCTGGGCATAGTGGCAAACACCTGCCTTTAATCCCAGCATTTGGGAGGCAGAGACAGGCTAATCTCTGTGAGTTTGAGGCCAGCCTGGTCTACAAAGTGAGTTCTAGGATAACCAGAGCTACATAGAGAGACCCTGCCTTGGGAAAAAGAAAAAGAAATGTATAAAAAGAACCCAACACCCAGCTGGGCAGTGGTGGCACATGCCTTTAATCCCAGCACTCGGGCAGCAGAGGCAGGCAGATCTCTGTGAATTCGAGACCAGCCTGGTCTACAAGAGCTAGTTCCATGACAGCTTCCAAAGCCACAGAGAAACCTGTCTCGAACCTCCCCCTCCACCCCCCGCAAAAGAAACAACAAACAAACAAAAAAACCCTCAACACCCAACTCAGGTCCTCTGGAAGAGCAGTAATTGCTCTCTCTTAATTACTGAGCCATCTCTCCAGCCCAGGAAAAAAATATGACATGGGGCTAGAAAGGTGGCTCAGTGGTCAAGAGCACTGACAGCTCTTCCAGAGGACCCATGTTGACTTCTCAGCACCCACCTGGCAGCTCGTAACTGTCAGTAACTCCACTTCCAGGCATCTAACACCCTCACAGAGACATACATGAAAGCAAAACACCAATGCATATACAATAAAAAATAAATAAAATAAATTTTACACTGCCAGGCATGTGGCTTTAATCCCAGAACTGAGGAAGCAGAGGCAGATGGATCTTTGTAAATTCAAGTCCATCCTGGTCAACAGATTGAGTTCCAGCACAGGCTCCAAAACTACATAGAGAGATCCTGTCTCAAAAAACAATAAATAAATAAACAAAAAATTTAAAAGATACTTGGAGAGATGACTCAGTCGTTAAGAGCACTGGCTGCTCTTACAGAAGACCTGGGTTTGAATCTCAGCACCCTCAAGGTAGCTCATAACCATCCATAACTTCAATTCTAGGGAATCCAACATCTTCCTCTAACTTCTGAGGGCACTGGAAACAAATATGGTGTAGATATATACATGCAGACAAAACAATACTCACGCATATAAATACAAACAAAACAGGTGCAGGGAGGGAAAAACTGGCTGAGACGCTGAGTTTAACACTGGACTGAGGAGGCTGGAGAGATGGCTCAGAGGTTAAGAGCACCGGCTGCTCTTCCAGAGGTCCTGAGTTCAATTCCCAGCAACCACATGGTGGCTCACAACCATCCGTTATGAGATCTGGTGCCCTCTTCTGGTGTGCAGATATATGTGGAAGCAGAATGTTGTATACATAATAAATAAATAAAATCTTAAAGACTGGACTGAGGAAAGGATCCAAGAGGTGAAGTACTTGCTGAACAAACATGAAGGCATGGGTTTAGATTGGTGAGCTCCAGGTCCACTGAAACGGCTCTGTCTCAAAATTAAGGCCGAGAGCAACTGAAGAAGACAAAACATTGACATCTTGCTCTGCACAGTCACATGCACAGGGGCACACATAGCACACTCACCAAATATACAATAAAAAGTTCAAGGTGCCGGGCGGTGGTGGCGCATGCCTTTAATCCTAGCACTTGGGAGACAGAGGCAGGCAGGTCTCTGTCAATTCCAGACCAGCCTGGTCTACAAGAGCTATTTCCAGGACAGCCTCCAAAGCCACAGAGAAACCCTGTCTCGAACCTCTCCCCCTCCCCCACCAAAATCAATAAAAAATAAAAAGTTCAAGTCTAAGCTGGATGTGGTGGCTCACACCTAGAATCCAAACACTTGGAAGGTTGAGGCAAGAGGACTGCTTTGAGTTTGAGGTGAGCCTGGACTACATAATGAGTTTCAGGTTAGCCTGAGCGTCAGAGTGAGACTCTGTCTCAAAATAAAACAAAGAAAACTGGCGCAAGGCGGTAGTTCCAGCTTCTACTGGGGAACGAGGTATGCTGAGCCCAAAGCATCAAAGGTTTGAGGCTGAATCAGACATGGGAGGTAGGGGCAGGAAAATCTGGAGTTCTAGGTCATTCTTGGCTACACAGTGAATTTGAGGCCAGCCTGGACTGCAGACCCAGGAAAAACTCCCACTCCCTGAAGACCCTATCTAAAATAAAGGAGAAAAAAAGAAAGAACCTGTTATTACTCTTAATTACAGGGGTTTGTTTATTCTAGGACCTAATGTGGAAAGTTTAAAACACTATGTGCCACCAAAACAGCCATAGGAAGCAATCAGAAGGTTTCTTCAGCATGTCCAGAGGTACTGGATTTAATGCCCAGAACCAAAGAAAGGGGGCAGGAGGGAAAGCTGTAAGGGGTAGAGCACAGGCTTCCACTATCAAAGCCAGCTACAGGAAAACGTCTTGCGCTCACGCGGGATCTGGGATACCGCAGTGGCTAAACGACTAAGAGTGAAAACTAAAGCGTTTAACTGGCGCATACTTTAATTAAAGCAGCGCAGGAGAGGCCTTCTAAGTCAGGCGTAGCTATCAATGGTTCTCAAACAGCAATCTTTAACCCGGGCTCCTAGCCTTGTCACGGGACCCGCGGGACGCGGCGGGGCCGGGGGTGGGTGGGGAAATGCTCTTAACCAGAAGCTGATTGGCTGGAGGGCTGGCAGCAGCATTTCGTGTCAGAAAAGACCACCAGGCTGATCCTCTTTCCTCGCTGGTGTCCTATCCCTGTCTGGGAGCTCCTAGCATTTCTTCTGCCCCTCACTTCCAGCTCTTTGAGACCTGAGCTGTAGACCCTTTCTGTGGTCCTGCAGAAGGGAAGTGGAGATTGTCTTTGATCTTTGATTTTGTCAGTGAGAATCTGGATGGCTTCCACGCGGATCCGAGAGGCCAAGGAGAGAGATTGTGGAGACATTCTGAGGATGATACGGGTGAAGACTGTGGGCTGGAAAATGGGGTGCCGTGGTGCTGGGAGCAG